AGTTGTGGGGCCTAGTCAATCAGTCCTTAGGCTGAACAAAAGTTCAACAAGGCTTAGCTAGGTCGAAGGGGACTTGTGTAATATTCAACTTTTCAATGTCTAGTGGCTAGAATCTAGACCTTTTTCCCTTCTTGGGGGTACTGTTCTCAAAGGTGGATGTCGGTCATGTGAGAGGCACGTGAGGAGATCGTGGGCCTAGTGTGGAGTCCAACCAACTCCACACTTGATGCTGGGGATGTCAATTTGTTAATTGGGTGTGGAGCCCATAAGTGTTGCCTCAAATTTACTTGATGCATGCATGTATTTGTGTCTGTGTTGCTTGCTTTCTTATGCGTGAAATACTAATCCGACTTTTATAATTTGTGAGTCGAATGTTTGGTGTGCGATTGGAAGGTTGACTGCTTAAGGAGATCAGGCCTCATAGGGTGAGATTGGGTGAAAAATTATTGCCAAAAACCTTGTCCCGTGACAAGTGTTATCAGGGCCCACGTTGGACTGTACGCTGCAATTCGAGAAACGATGTGTGATCATATTCGACGTGAAGACCTCGTAGTGTCTTTTGAAGCATGGATCCAAAGGTTGGAGAGCTTATTAGGGAAACCGCCTCAGACGCCATTGCCAACAACGATCTTCGAGCAATTGCAAACAAGGAACGATGCGCTCGATGATCTATGCTTGACAGGGATGGGTTGAAGAATTTGATACACGCGTTACCCAAGTTCGTTTATGGAAGGATGGATTCCTTTCATGATAAAGTCTCTCTGTTGTCTGATGCGGTGCAAGATAAGATCGAGAAGGTAAAAAATGACATAGCCTTGTTGAAGAGGGTAGGCGCGAATGTTCTAGAAGAACTGCGCCAAGTCCCATTAAAAGTTCGATTCCTTGATCCAAAGGATTTTGATGGTTCTCGTGATGCGATGGAGGTCGAGAACTTCCTTTGGGATATGGGGATGTACTTCTAGGCTTTGGGGTCCCAGACGGTCATAAAGTTTCAATAGCGAGCATGTTCCTGGCTAGAGATGAGAAGTAATGGTGTTGGGCTCAAGCATTAGATGATGTTAGTGCTAATCGAGAGGGAATCAACATGTGGGACACTTTAAAGAGGGATTTGAAAGATCAGTTCCTCCCGGGCAACACTGATTGGCATGCCAAAAACACGCTGTGAAACCTACGACATACGGGTGTCGTGTGTGAGTATGTTATAAAATTAAGTTTTGTGATGGTTGACATCTTCAAAATTTTAGAGAAAGATAAAATGTTCAACTTCATGGTGGGCTTACATGGTTGGGCCCAAGAGGAGTTGAGGAGACAAGGTGTGAGCGACCTACCATCGGCCATGTTGCGGCCGAACGACTCGTTGATTTTGAAGTTGTTGAACTCGACCAAAGAGACGGGTGGGAATTCAAAAGGCGCAAAGATGGTGGCAAATACAAGAATAAGTCAGTTGACAAGAAGGAAAGCAAGACCCGAGAATGCAAAACCCAGATGCTGGTTGTGGACCGATCTAATCGTGGATGCTTCTTGTGTAATGGCGACCATCATATACGTGATTGTCTCAAATGCCTGATGGCCAAGGAAGGCCCCAAAATTCCCTAACCTAATTTTCCGCCCTTGTTCCCCTAAAATTCGACTGTAGAGCCTTCCCCAGCCGCCGCTGGGTATCCCGACAGTGGCCGGCTCCGGGCTGCGTGGCCCTCCTCTCAATTTGTGTTGGAGCCTCTACTTCGCGTCGTAGGAAGAGGATTGCATTCCAGGAGGGTCTTCGACGTTTACGTAGCTGTCGTCCAAGGGAGTTGGGTCATCGGATTCAGGGGTTGTCGGTGGAGGTTCTGGTGCTTCGGGAGGGGCTACGGCTCCGGTAGCTTAGTGTTGGGGGCCGGGGTAGAGGATGACATACCTCGTCCCTTGTGTCCTTCTTCCTCTTGTGTTGGGGAATAAGGGTTGACCGACGTTTGTTCCGAGCTCGGGCCGTGGTGTGGACCAGCGTTGAGACAGCGGGTGTGTGAAGGGATTAGGCGGCAGTTTTTCATGTTTTTGGGTGCCGTTCCAGTTAGGCGTGTTATGGCATTTTCTGGAGGTGTGTCCAAGAACGTGGTCCGGTCCATTGGGGTGGTCAGTAGGGTTGCCGGTTGAGGGAAGAGTTTTTTCTAACCATAGTTTTTTAGTTGTTTTTGTTTTTGTTAGTGTTCGTTGGTCTTTGTTTATTTGAGTTTGAGTTTGGTGTAGTCGGTGTTGGTGTTGGTGTTGTTGTGTTTTGTGTTTCTCCCGTAAGGAAGTGTGTTTTCTCACGTAGGAGAGTGTGTATTTATCCGTAGAGAAATACTATAGGTACATAATATTGTACATAGGGGTGTATATTACACTCACATTGAGTGGAGTCCACCAAAAATAAAAAATCAAGTGGACCTTACTCCATGTGAGTGTTATGTAGACCTCTATGTACATTTATATGTACTTTAGCATTTTTTTTTTCGTATGAGAGTGTGTTTTCTTCCGTATGGGAGTGTGTTTTTTGTGGTTGTTGCTTGTGAGCGTGTTTTGTTCTAGTAGAGGTTTTAGGTGATCTCTAAATCTACTCTCCCACTAGATTCGACTATAGAGCTGTTTCTTCAGCTGTTGAGGTTTTTCTAGATGTAATGATGTGTTTTTNAAATTTAATAAAAAAAAAAAAAAGAGTCAACAATAAAATACCGAAACACACAAATCGAGAAATGATAATAGCAACAGTATTATTATATGCGGGTGATTGGGAATTTATCACTACCAATTGCAGCTATACACGCTCCTCATAATGTCTTCCTCATCATCTCCCTTGTTTTCTTCTTTTCCTCTCTAAAAATTCTCTCCAATTTTTCATTTTCCCTTTCAAATTAAACCAAATTATGTGAGTGAGAGTCCACATCAGGCATCAGGCCCTCTCTCTATAAATTTCTCTCCACTCCGCTTCACATTCTCTCCCACCACCACTCGTTGTTTTGTTTTCTTCTTTTCCATGTCCACAAACTTTCTACCCTCCGCACTGTTACTCCACCGCAAACCCTTCGCCAAACCGCCGACCGCCGCCATGGCCACATGCGTTCACTCCTCCGGCACCGAATCCCCTCCCCAAACCAAACCGGCCGTCGACGGCTACGTCCGATTCCTCCGCCCAAACCCGCCTGATTCCGCCTCCTGCACCTCCATCTCAGAAAAGCCGCCGAAAAATTCCCTTTCCGAAAACCCTAAAATCGAAAAGGGGGACGGCGATTTGTGGGCGCGGATGATCGAGGAAGCCAGGTCGGACGTGGATCAGGAGCCAATCCTCTCCGGCTACTACTACAATTCCATCTTATCTCACGATTCTCTCGAAAGCGCCCTTGCCGAATACCTCTCCATGAAGCTCAGCGACTCCAGCTTGCCCAGCGGCACTCTCTACGATCTCTTCCTCTGCATCCTCACTGCCGATGGAGACATAATCGCCGCTGTTAACGCTGACCTGAGGGCTGTCAAGGAAAGAGACCCCGCCTGCCTCAGTTACGTCCACTGCTTTCTCAACTTCAAAGGGTTTATGGCTTGCCAGGCCCATAGGATAGCGCACAATCTGTGGTCCCAGGGGAGGCAAATCCTAGCCCTCTTGATACAGAACAGAGTTTCGGAGGTTTTCGCAGTGGATATCCACCCAGGGGCGAAAATCGGGAGAGGTATCTTGCTGGATCACGCGACTGGGCTTGTGATTGGGGAGACGGCTGTAATTGGGGATAATGTGTCGATTTTGCACGGCGTGACTTTAGGTGGGACCGGGAAAGACTCGGGAGAGAGGCACCCGAAAATTGGGGATGGGGTTTTGATTGGGGCGGGAAGTTGCGTGTTGGGGAATGTGAAGATTGAGGATGGGGCTAAGGTTGGAGCGGGGTCTGTTGTGCTGAAGCGGGTCCCGGCGAGGACTACGGCTGTGGGTAATCCGGCGAAGTTGATTGGGGGGAAGGAGAAGCCGATTATGTTGGATCATATCCCGAGTCTTACTATGGACCACACCTTACATATATCCGAGTGGTCGGATTATGTGATTTAGGATTATTTTTGTACTTTGTGTTGTGGTGAGAATTAGTGTGTAGTTTATATGAGCAACTATTGTTGTCTTGTACTTGTGTTGAAATGGATGGGATTTTTATGCTTTTAAGAGAAAACTTGGTTTTCCTATTGGCATGGATGGATGTTGTGTTTATGTATGAAATAAAAAGCTACTTTTGGGCTTTTGGTGACTTTGTTTTTTATGTTTCATGTGTATCAATTTGTTGAATTACCTTTGTTGTGGGTGTGACTCGATAGATGGTTTAGGTGGTTGTGGGGTTATTTGTTAGATTTAAGAAAGGTTTTATTTTATTTTGTTTATTAGGTATGAGTTGTTTTTTTTATCTTTTTTTGTTGTTTTTTCCTTTAGTCCAGCGTTGTCTAGTTGTTAATCTCTTATATGGAGTTTGTGTCTCTTTTTTGGAGTTTTGTCTTTTGCGGTTAGTCTCCTTGTTAGAGTTTCTATCCCCTTGACCACCTATGCGGATTCAAGGGGGGTTGGTCCAGTTTTTCTAGTTCCATGGTACTCGTTGACACTTCGATTTGTATTTTTTTTGAGTTTTTATGTTATTAATATATTTGTTATTAATATATTTGAGTTAAAAAAAAAAAAAGAATTTCCTCAACTAGTTTGCTTGATACAAATCAACTCAAAAAAAGTCAAACATTTTTAACTCAACTACTTTTTTAACTCAACTCCACTATCATCAATATTATCAATATTATCAATATAATTAAATAATATCAACCCATCATTCTCACACGTCACATCATCTTAAAACTGAGCTGGTGAATTCTGAAAATTTAGAATGAGAAACTTGGTAATTTAATTTAATTGTGATGAAAAAAATATCAGAAGTATCAATCTTATTTTAAAACATGCATGTCGGTCGCTTTATCCTATTCTAAGTTGTGCATTCTACAAATTATAAATCAGAACCGAGTAAGGACAGCAAATTGTCGAAATAGACGCCTGCAGTAAGGTAGGAACAATGACAGCAAACTGAAAATAATAGAATTGACTCATACAACAAACTCCCAAGAAATGAATACACAGATTAATCGGTCTTATAAATCACAAGACAAACAATATTATTTGTGTCACCAACCGACCCGAGTAGGGTCTTTCTCAAACTTAAAAGTTGTGGAGAGCTTCCTCTTCTAGCTAATAATGCTCCTGATAAATTGCTCCAAATTCAGCCCTCCATGCCTGGTCATCGTCGTCTGGAAATGACGAGCCATTTGCTTGCCCTGAATCATCCTCTCGGTAAAATGGTGAGGATCTCAAGGCAGCCTCTGGCAACCTGCTCTCAGCTAGATATTGCTTCATGGTCACCATCTCCATCTTGTGCTTTCTCTTCAGTTTCTCCATCTGCCTCCTCAATTTCTCATTCTCTTCTTCAATCTCCAAATTTTTCTCCTTCACAACCAACAAGAATAAAAACACCAACACTATTTTATTTACCAATATTTGTAGTAGTAGTAGACTACAACATGCACAGCCATAAAACCTGTCAACTATCTGATGAAAGTGATGGTGATTAGTAGTAATAAGCCCCTGAGGTGTTTTTTGGCAAGTTACAAAAATGGTTTAGAAGGGTCTGTTACAAAGACCAAAATAGTTGTATTTTTTGCTTTTGAAGGAGAAATATGCAAAGATGGATGAAAAAAAGATCAAGGGAGGATGATCATCATCACCTATAAAGACAGTAGCAATTTTCACAACAGGGAAAATAAAACCCATGAGGTGTTTTTTTTGGCAAGTTACATAAATGGTTCAGAAAGGTGTTATACAAAGAACAAAATAGTAATATTTTTTTGCTTTTGAAGGAGAAAATATGCAAAGATGGATTTAAAAAAAAAAAAAGATCACGGGAGGCATCATCACTTTCATTACAAAGACATAGAGTAGCAATTTTCAGCACAGGGAAAATCAAACCAGAAAAAAAGTACACTATTATTATTACCTCAGCCAGCTTGGCAGCCTCCTCCGCTTCCCTCAATCGAACAAGAACCTCTCCTGCAGCATGCACCGCCTCTGCAGTATCCTTCAGCTGCAACTTCAAACTCCTATTCTCCTTCCTCAACAGCTCCCTCTCCCTCTCCCTCTCCATCCTCATGGCCGAGAGCTCAGAAGACAGTGCCTTCGCAAAGCGGGCCCCATGCCTGCCACCTTTGCTCCCCACTGCCTTTGAAGCCGCCCTCTTCACCTCTGCTACCCCTTCCATCACTGCCCGATGCTTCTCCACCAGCTCGTTATACTTTTCCTGCAGCTCTGTATAATGCTCGATCATCCTCGCGTGGCCCAACACCGACCTCCCGAGGGCATCGTCAAGCTCCTCCATTGACTTTTTCTCCAAAGTCAACTCGGACTCGGCCTTCTCGGCTCGCCGGCGGTTTGACTCGATCTCGATCCTCAGCTCGTCGGTCAGCGAGATCCACTCGCTCTCCATCTCCATCCACTTTTCTCTCTCCTTCTCGAATTCTTCTTTGCTGTTGTTGTTAACGAAACTCTTTCTTAGCTGCATGGATTGGGACAGCAGGGACAACCGTAGTTTGTCGGACGATGATCTTCTGATTGAGAAGTTTTGGGTATCTTCGATTTCACATTTCTCTTTTATGAGTTCGGGTGGGGGCTCGTGGTTTTCATTGACGTTCCAGGTTAAAAAGAGCTGTTGAGGATTGGAAGTATGTCTTAGGGAATAATATGAATAGATTATGTGACTATGATGAAAAAACTGTTCTTGTGAGGTAACTGACCTTAGATTCGGATTTCTCGGGTTCATCCTCGTTTATCGGCGGAAGTTGATTCTTTTGATCAGTCATGCATTTGCATTGCTCAAGCTGCAGCAAGAATAAGTATTAATTGAACTTGCTATATTTGGGCTGAGCATGCATTATCTTGTAATCTCATGTCATATATGAAAAAAGAAGAGGAAAATCATATAACCTTTCTGTTTAGAAGCTCAATTTGAGCTGCTTGTTCCTTACAAACACTTTTGAGATCCTTCTCTCTTTCGATGGCCTCCAATAATAGAAAAAAACAAATTAGAGATTTTTTAGCAAAACAGGTACAACTATGGGAAATTAGATACATTCATGAATAATTGAGATTTAGACCCTTACCATGTCAGTACCATTGCTATCTTCTTTTCCTTGACATCTAACGCAAATAAATGTGGCATCAGATGCTTGATCCGACGTCTGAACTGAGGCATTAGCCTTGTCGGCTTTCAGACACGGTTTGAGAGCCAAGTGTTCGAAAGAGAATGACACGGATGATCTAGCTGGGGCCGAGTTCCTCTGATGGTAATCGATGATCTGTTGCCCTCTGTGTAGACTAGCTTCCAAAGACTGGGTAGGGCCCTCAAAAATCTTACTAGATCTCAAGGAGGATTTAAGGACATCTGATTGCTGTGATTGCCGAATCACTTCCACGTTTTTGCAAGGACCTCCGTTGTTACTCTCCTGGTTCGATGACAGGAAAACTAGGCTTTTCCTCTGAATTTTATTTATTTTAGGAGATTCCGACAACGTAGGTTCTAAAAGGGCTGTACTCGGTGGAATATCTACAGCAATCGAACCTTTTGAAACTTCAGTTTCAGTTTTGCTTGTACTGATTTCTTCATTTTCGCTTTCTTCGGAACAACTCAGATAATGTTCACAAGTAACTTCTGTCTCACAACCTTCTGCAGAGTACAATAACGTATTCTCTCCATACTCAGAATAATCTTCCTTCATGTTGTCTTCATGAGAGGCACGTAAGTTATCAATGTGAAGCTTTAATTCCTTAACTTCATCCTCATTAATGTGCAAATTGTCCTCAGAATCATTTTCTACACGTGGTAATATAAGCGAACGATTGAGGCTCAGTCTCAGCTGGTTCAGGCTAGCGCGCACATTTCCCCTTTGGAAATATCCATGGTTGTTGCTGCTAAGAGAGTTGGATGTGCTGGACTTAGCCCTCATGAGTTCTTCCTGCATTGGTCAAATTGAACATTTGAGAATTAAGTTGCTTGTTCTAATAAAAGTTCTTCTGTTTGGACATATCAATCTATCAATGATACCTTCAGCTGCCGAATCTGATCACTTAGATCATTAACATCGTCCTCTGTTATTTCGTTCACCACGGGTTCATTCTTCATCAGTTTTGCCCGCAAGCCGAATCTAAGAGTGCTTAGTGTTTCACTACTGCTCCTGCTTGCAAAGAGACAAATAAATGCACAATCTATAAAGTAGCATAATAGCGTGTATTCATGGCAGGCTGTTATAATAGTAGAAAATATTCTCTGCTCAAAATCTAAGTAATGGGTCAAAATTTGAGGCTGCTTACTGTTTTCACAATTGAAATGAAAAATAGTGAAAGAATGCGCAATCTATAAATGTTTTCAATAATAACAAAGCCCATGACTAGTTAAACTACTGGTCTTATCAGCAACACCTATTGACATGATACTTTATATCTAAAATATACAATGTACCAAACAGTAAAGAGAGAAGTCAAGTCAATACTTGTTGTCTGGAGAAATGGTGCATATAACAGAGAGCTTAGCGTTGCCACCAAATGATTCTCTTAACAAATGAGTCAGACGGGAACTTCTGTATGGAACTTCTTCCGATTTCCCTGATTGACTTCGTTCTGCAAGAATATTTACCAAGCGCCTGTGGAGGGTACAGGTTTATGCATTAAAAATAAACTCTTTGCTAAAGCAAAATAACAGCATCATGATTGCATACAGAGCCAACTAATTAAAATAATATAGGCACAGAAAGATGTCCAACATTGAGAGCAAAATTCTAAAAATATTTTGAGAGGAAGGAAAGTGAAAACTTGAAGGCATGGGAAACCAACAATTCCAAACACCCACAAGGACTTACCCAATCTGTGATGTTGACTTCTTAATATATTTTCCTTCTTTCACATGCTGTCTACTAGCATTCTCAAGTATGTTTCTCTCGAATCCAGCCAAATCGACAAGACTAATCCGACTAATCTTTGAAATACCAAAGCACTTTGACGAGGACTCCTGCAAGATAATATTTAGAAAAAGATACAAATTGTATATAAAGATTGCAGATGATAGCAGGAATATGCAGAAACAAATTTTGTAATAAGTCAATTTCTATGAAGTATACACCACAACATTATAAAACTCCAAGGGGATGAAACTCCTCATGAAAAAGATCCATATCCAAAACTTATAATGATAAACGTGAAGAATATAGTTCATTCCAGTTCTCTCCTTTTCTTTTCTTTTCTTTTTTTCTTTTCCTATTTTATTTCTGAATTTTGTGCTTAGACACAGAGGAATGTTGTGGGCGTTGCTGATTATACCTTGCACCAAGACTCGATTATGCATGTGAACATAATATGGGATCTTGAGCTCTTGGAGTTGATTCTTGTTGTTCCAGTTTTTCGATTTGATAGTCCCTGCAAGATAATGCTGTATTTAGAATAGCCATCTAAAAAAAAGACAAAAATAAGACAATGCTTACTCCTTTCGGTACCTTAACTAAAATCTGAGTGACATCCTCATAGCATGATACATATTCCTCAGTCAAATTCTCTACGTAAAATCCATTTTTCGCATCATCCTTTATCTGAAATGGTTGACCCAAAAAAAAAAAATATCCACATAAATCTCGCATGAAAATACTTAGACGACCATCGAGTACCTCCACATGAATTAATTAGTTAAATTCTAAAATGAGACATTAAATTAACCTCTAAACCCCGTTGTGTTGGATCAAGTAGGTCACTGATTTTCTCATCATACACCTGCGCGACCAATACATCTATAATTAAGTCAAGTCATGCAATTGAAATTAAAAAATAAATAATAAAGTGCTCAAGGAAGACAGAATCACCTCAAGAAAGGAACACCGGCACTGATAATTTATTATTCTGCCATCAGGATCCTCTCGCTCCTTTGCAATCATAATAGAAGCAATTAGATCATATCCCAGAAATTACATATCGAAATCTCACTATTGAAAGACCTCATCAAGAAGATCCTAATCCACCTTTTGAATTTCTGAGAAAAGCTTCTGGAAAATGCGTGGCACTATACCCTGAGGACCATTGACTGATGGACCTCCAACCATCGCGCTTGGAGGTCCCCACATTGTGTATGTCTTCCCACTACCAGTCTAATATTTACAAAGCAGAAATCACTTCAAAATCCCAAATACACAATTAAAGAAATGAAAGAGTTTTAGATTAAGGTATCCTGAATTTACCTGTCCATAAGCCAGGATTGTTGTATTATAACCAGCAAGTGCATCCTTAACCAAGGGAACACCTACTGATTTGTAAACATCCTCCTACAACCATACAAGAACAATGCAGATCAGTTTGATAATCGTGCATATTGAATTACAACATAATCGAGAAAAACACATATTCTGATTAATTTAAGCCGGAAAACTTCTCTTTCAGCTAGAAAAGGATTTCTCAGAAAAGATGAAAATATTCTGTAAAAAGTACCAAACCTGTGTTGACTCCGATTCAAATACTGAATCAAATGTGTAATTTAAGCCAGCAACACATAGAGAATTCTTTGAAACTTTGCTGACCGAGGTTTCACCAATTCCAAGGCCATTTTCTGTTCCAATCCTCACCACAACCTATCCAGAAAATAGAAATCAGAAGCTTCATATTCGTACACACTCTACACTTTCAAAGTAACAAAATTCAACGATCCTGTCTTTATAGGGTTTCAAAAATATAAATTCATTTAAAAACCCAGTTCCGGAGTCCAGACCATCTAGAACTTCCATAAAAACATAAAGCTTCAACAAAATCCACGATTGGGTTTCATATAGATTAATAAAAAGAATTACACCCGAGTACCTTGACTGGTGGATCTTGACCTTCTGGTACTTTCTCAGACACTACGGATGCAGTAAGATCCTCCGTTATAGGACTAATTTTAACCTTGGAAGGCGATTTTTTGGGCAAAGAGATCGAGGCAGAAAGAGGAGGATCACGAATTTGAATGTTGGGATCGATGGGAGCTATGTTCTCATCGTCCAATCTGATTTTCGAGGGGCGATTTGAGATCGACTTCTGCTTTGCTTTCGAGAGCAAATTCTTGAACGGCACTGAGGCGGAGATGCTCTCCATGAACCTGCTGCTATCGGAGATTCTGGAATTGGGCCTCGCCATGGCTGGAATCAACAAAGCGACTGTATAGAAATTGATTGATTGCTTTAATCTATACAGATTAAGGGAGAAAGATCTGAACGGGAGTGTGGGAATGTGAGAGAGAGTGTGTGTTTGAGAGATTGTGTTTCAGAGACGTTATAAATTTGCTGTAATGTGACCGTTGAGGTACAAATCGCATGCGGCACCGGAGCGTTTGAAAATTTAAACCTAATTGTGAAATGACAAAAATGGTATATGTTTCTATTTTTTTTTATTATTATTATATTTGGGGATAGGGAAATCTATATATAAAAGTTAAACGTTTACTAAATAAAATTTTTTATTAAAAAAAAATAGTTACTAAAAATTACAACTCCGTAACCTTAATTTTAATTTTTTTTCTCCCTTTTAACATTTTCTATATTTTGAAAAAAATTTCAATAATTTATTTATTGGTTGATTTGATTTTTAATATGTATTAATTGAACAATTTTTGTAATAGAAAATGATGTTTACATAAAAATTTATTAACCATCTTTAAAAGCATAAGGAAAATATTTTTTTAATTATAATAATTTTAAAAATTACACGAATTGAATTAAAAAATTATAACAATATAAATTACATTTATAACTATTTGTCATATTTTATATATACTATTTTATTGAATTTTGTTAGAATGAATAAAATAGAATATAATTTTGTTTTAAAAATATAATTTTTTCATCATAACATCATTCGTTTATATTATTTAATAACTTATTGATAACATATCATAAATATGTTAATAATATAAAAAATATATCGATATCCAACTTATTCGATAATATAATATTGCTTCAGAATTCAACATTAATTGCGACATGATTAATGTGCCTCGTCTGCCACACCTGGCAGAGATTTTTCGTATTTCCCATCTCACTTGACCGCCGATTTTCTTTCCCTCCAACAGCTGTCCTTGCACGATTATCGTTATAAAAAGGCAAAAGTGAACCGTCACCGTCCTTGCTGCAACTTCAAATTCCTGCAATCTCTCCAAAAATTTATGGCGACTTGAAGCCTACATCCGGCGAAGCTTCAATCACCATAATCTCCTTGCCAACCTTCATCATCATCCACTCTTTCCTTTGTTATTTCTACACTTTTTTCATTTCAATTTTATTCCTTTCAGCAAATCGTCCATTATTTGTTGTCCAACATGTCATATTCTAATAATCAGAATGAGGTCTCCTCGAGCTCATTCGTTCCCTAGCCATTATTCTTGTTCCTATCACTCCTGTCCAACTCTTAGGTTGGTATTGTCGTCACTAGAATTGGTTGGCGATGACATCATGGTGGCAACATAATCAAAAAACGAACAACTTGCAAAATTTGCGACAAAAACAACATGGTAAGCTACATGTAGAGTGATTAGTGGCGACGCGCCTATTTTTGGGATGAGATCAACCTGTATCCAGTTCGTGGGCGACAACCCGTTTCACATTGCATGGAGAAATCAACATGAAGGAAGCTCTGTTTGGAGATCAACACGAAGGGAGCAATTCAAGAAATGGAAAGCATATACATATTAAGCATGAAAAGCGAAAAGGGACGTGGAAAATATTTCTCACGCTGATTGTATTTCATACACAAAAGAAATTGTACATACTTGTCAGATACAAAAGCTCAAGAAAAAAATGNACACTAGAAAACCAAACAGAAACTCTCACATACAATCTGAGAGATAAGAATCCCAGACCAAAAAAGAAAAAAGCCGTTTAACAGGGATGGAAAGAAAAAAAGAATACAAAAATAACTTTCTACCTTCCAAATCAACCAATAGCAGTCTTGCTTTTAAAGAGCCGCACAACAAATATCCTGATGTCTGATTTACATCTCAATCAAAATGCAGAAGAACGAACCTAAATTATAAAATCAAACCTTCAAATTCTCGGCAAAGTCCCTGGAAACTGCTCCCACTGAGCATGTACACTTTGCCCCCAAAAACCTTGTTTGCTCTGTGTGATGACACCAATTTACGATAAACTGAGAGATAATATATCTATGAGGGATACGAATGAAATTCACAAACCACGTGTTCTTTTTAAATTTCATCTCCTGCATCCTCAGAATACAGCAAATTCCTGTGTTGCAATTCCTGTAAGAAAATTCATGGTAACAAGTTAGGCTGACAAATGCAGTTGAGTTACTGGATATTCAATGTAACAGATTTGAATAAAACACAAAGCTGAATCAATTTATAATTTGTTTCCCTCTTCTCTTTCAAATTGATATTTAAAACAAATCAGATCAAGGAATCCTTTTTCTCTACTGAAGAAAATGAAGATATAATTTGTTCAAGTACATGCACATAGTCACATAAGCATAATTTTCCGCAAGATATGAACAAGTACACTCTCATCTTTTTCAGTGGTTTATTGAAACCTACTACTATACATACTTCAAATAATAATATCAGAAACATCGTATGTCCAGTCATCTATATGTAATTAAAAGGGAGAGCAAAAACGGCCTTAAACAATCTGAAAAACCACCAGTGTTTCAACAACTACAGTTATAGTGCACTACCAAGGATATTCTTTTGCTTCATCGATCTAAAGCATAATAAGAAAACATATAGTAGATTGCGACCAATCAGTCAGCTACCGTAAAAGTCAACAATGTACAGCAAGTTGCAGGATAAACTCGTCATTGAGATGGACTAGAAAGAAAAAATTAAAGAAGCAATTAACAACTGCTGGAATGCATAGGTCATACTAGTTCAGCCGTTAGAAACAAAGATCTACCCATATTTATCAAGATTGGATATCCTTATCATAAAGAGAACCTAACTCTTAAATAAAAACAGCATTTTTTACATACTCAAAGAGAAAGGTAAAAAGAAACAATGAGATGGTGAGAATATGACTAATATTTCAGCATAAACAAACAATGGGATAGATAATTCCATAGTTTGTTGTCATTTTACTTGGTCAGAGAGTCTTAGACGTTGTTTTTCAGTTCAGTCGGATATCAAGTTTCTTGTGTGACCTAAAGTAGAAAAACATAAAAAGATAAAGATTATCATTGTTTCAGGCTCAGCTCAGTACTAAGGTCAAGTTTAATTTCCTCAGGGAGTAGAATTCAACAGTTTACAGCAAACAATTGCATTATGTGTCGGGCATGTATATGAAAATTACTCACAAGACCTATATAATATATCCGCACACAAACTAGAATGAGGAATTCACAATTTCAAGACTTAAACTTTTGATATATCCATAATTGACTATTACGAATTCACACCTCCCTATTCTTATGCTTCTTTTACGATATCCAATGTGATTAATTAGAATTGTGAACACATTTTAGAAAATCAATTGCATCAAAAGGGATTTATCTCAATCATCCACGCCCCGCTTTTTAAGCAAAACCCACACCACATCAAACACACATCTACACTTAACTCTCAAAACTGTTATATACCTAACTATGGATTTACCACAACAAGAAGCCGTTAAAATCCCACTAATTGGGGTCGGCTATATGGATCACATATCGCCATCGTGCTCGATCAAAACACATGCAAGAACATACACACACACACACACACACACACACACACACACACACAAAAAAAAGCAATCAATACCTCTATTGGATTGTCTATTTGGAATGCCATACCCCACGCCAAAATCCTCAGACTCTTTATCGGCTACATCCTCCAAGTTCCCAAGTGCATAACCGAATGAACCCCGATTATCCAGCTCGGAAGACGGAGTTTGCCAGGTCTGATCACCATAAACAGAACCCCCACGGTAAAAATCCCCATAAGACCCTTCATATCCGCCCCCGGATGCAGAAAAAGCAGACATGGAGCCAAAACCCGTCCCACCATTCCTCCCAAACCCTCCCAAACTGATTGAGTAGTTATTATTCTCCCCACCACCTCTGTAACCCACAGTACCTCCATTGTTATTAGAAGTCCCCCAATTCCCATTCCTCAACACCCCAAAACCACCACCACTCCCCGAACCAAGGTACGAACCCGAGCCAACATTACTCACCGCATTATTACCACCATTTCCCCACACATTCCTCGACGCCGAGTTGAAAAACGCCTCACCTCGGCTGCTACTATTTGTATTGTTATACCCAATCGCGGTATTATTATATCTGCTTTGAGTACCGCTCAAGTAAGGGCTCATCACTCGCCCTCCAAAACCCTGATTCAAACCCTGAAAGTGTGAAATCCCAGCATGTGCACCGTAGCCCCCAATCGAGCTTAGGTTGTATCCCTGTGGATAGCCACTGAGAAAACCACTACCCCTACTGAAGCTGTAGTTATTATACCCAAAGAGCGGGCTGCCACGTGAGGGCCCGGGGGAGAGTTCCCTGGGAACAGCTCGCTTCACCTCGACCATCTTTGCGTTGAGCTCGTGGAAGGTCTTGTGGAGCACTCTGTCCACTGCATCCTCCGAGTCATAGGTTATGAACCCGAAGCCCCTTGGCCTCTGAGTGTTGTGGTCGTACATGACCACAACGTCTGTTATGGATCCAAACTGGCTGAAGTAGTTCTTGAAGTCGGTTTCAGTCACCGTGGATGCTAATCCTCCCACGAAAATCTTTTTGGTCCGCCCAGGAATAGGCGATCCCTGGGTGCTGCTGCTACTGTTTCGATTGGTTAAGTTATGGTCGTCTCTCGGGACAGCTTTTTTAGCTTCCACCTGAAAATATGGAAGATAAGTCAGCATATCTCCACGCAAATGAGGTAGTGTAGACCATTACAGGAAAAATTATGACATATTCATAAAAATTGATCTTGTGGAAATTGATCAAGATGTTCTTTCAACTTCAAGTGTCGATATAAGTTCGAGAATGCAAAAAACGCATCCTTTTGGCAAAATGCACTATGAGCTCCAAATGATTATGGTCCGAATCAACTTACAGTTCGCCCATCGATCACGTGCTTCTCCTTGATCACTCTTTCGGCAACCGTAGGGTCAGCAAAGACTATGAAGCCGAACCCACGGGCCCGGCCCGTGGTTCTGTCTCTCATGATCACTGCCTCCATTACATCCCCATAAGTCCCGAAATAGTCTTTGAGGCGCTCCTCGTTTGTGTCCCAGGAAATACCACCAACAAACAATTTACCTCGATCCATCTCCATATCCCTGCCATTTTGGAACATAATTAACAAGCATTCCTTTGCATAAACCAAACGCAGCTGCTTCTTAGATGAAGTAAGCAAAAGGAAATAAAATCAAAGCAGTCTTGCAGAACAAGCAAATCGTCAAATTAGAAAATGGAAACCAACTGGCAGGTAGAATGTCATCGAACACCTAGATCTTGTCAACGCAGCTATATGAAGAAAAATGACATGGCTGAGCCATTATAGAAAGCATTGGTAAATTCGAAAGATTGCAGATAAATCCAGCGTTAATCACACAAGCAAAAGAAGGGGTCCACGATCAAAAGTTAAATCGAACTCGATTACCGTGCGGACAAAAATTCAAATCAACATCAAGCCAAAATAAAACGAATGACACCTTTATCCAGTAAATCGGATAGGAAGCAGTTGCAGACGGATCCAAATACAGAGTCCGAAATGTTGGGTTTAATATGACACCATCGGATCCCTGATTCATCAATCAGATTTCACCGCACGGACGGATCCATGGCAAACTCACAATTCCTACAGATCAGACCAGCACTCAATCAATCAGAAAATCACAACAAAATCGTCAATGGTTATAGTTTTCCATTTCTAATTCTAAACAAAAAAAGGCTTACCTTTGAAACAAAATAAATTGATGGAAAGAAAGATCTAATGAGAGGAATATCCATTAATGAAAACAGAGGGTATGCTCATGCTCATCCCGTCTTCCTAGCACCTCTCTCTCTCTCTCTCTCTCTACAGGGCCTTCTCTTGCTTTCTCTCTTGGTTATTCCACTTTCTTTTAAGCAAAAAGGAAAATGGAATTCCTTTAGCTGAGATATTATTTAAATTTGATAAGTCATGTAGAGAGGGAGAGAAAGAGATTATGTATAAGTTGTATGTATATATGTGGGATTGTTGGGCGAAAATCACTCTGGTTGAAGATATATGTTTTAGAGGTAGATGATGATGAGCTTTGGAGAACCATACTAGGCTACTAGCTAATTCACATCACCTTTTGACATAACCAATTCTATTTTTTCTGAAATGTATAAAACTAACTACATGTCCAATTTCATTACAAGGCCTGATTTTCTAGTATTGAATTATAATAAATCTTGAATTTTTTCATTGTTATTCACCGCCCCCTATTTACTACTTATCGCATCCTTTAACCGTTTTTTACTTCTCATAATTTCTTTTTTTCATAAAATTCGAAATCTCTCCTAACCTTCTCTTGATTGATTATCACAAAAAAAAAAATTCGAAAAAATGGCAAATTATGACCAAGACCGAGGCAAATGTCTCATGATTCCTCTAGTATGATTGTATTTTCGATTAGTAAATAAATATTAAAAAAAATTAAGATTCCTACCTCAACGGCCAGCCAGTGATCGCGGTCGTCCACGATGTGGCCGGTTTGCAGGGCTAGCCAAATCCAGGGTGACCGGTTTTAAGAGCCGGCCGCACTCTAGGCAGCCGGCATCGCAAGCCAGCCGCACCCTCGGCGGTCAGCATCTCCAGTCGGCCGACCGCCGGCAAGTGCAGCTTCGCCGGCTGGCTGGCCGACAATTTTCAATTTTTTTTTAGATTTTGTTTAAATTTTTTAATAATTGTAATTATTTAAATATTTATAAATATAATTGAATTAATTTTTTGATTTAGGTTAATTAAGATAAATTTAGTTTAGTTATTATTAATAGCATCTTACTTATAAATAATATTATATATATAAGTCAAATGTAATTAACTAATTATATTATAATTATGATAATAATACTTTTTAATAATACTAATTATTAATAGTATAATGCATCTAACTTTAGTATTTTCAAGAAACGAATCAGTTATAATATATGTAATAAAATCGTTTGTTAAATAATTATTAGTTTCAAAAATTATAATTAGTGTTCTAATATAAGTTCAAAAAGTATTATAATTACTTTTGTATAATTATATAATCAAAAAGTAGAATTATATTAATTATTTGGTTACGAATAATTATTATAATTATTTTTAATAATTTTTACGAAAATAATTACTTGTAATATTTAATAATGTATTTTAGGAAATAGTAATAATTATTAATAGTATTTATGATTAGTTTGCATAAATATTTGTAATAACTAGTTAATTTTAATTATTTTATAATAATTAATTAAATATATGAATTTAAAAAGATTGTTTATTAATTATTAGTTCAAATAATTGATTTAGACTGGTGGTAGACCTACGCGACTGGCCACCGATACAGAGAGGATGACGAGTTTTTCTATTTTGGACCCCGACACACTATGAGTGGGTATGTGGATGTTTCCGCTCGTCGGGCGAGAGAAGAGACGTTGAGATGTTGCGTCAGATTTGCCTGATCATGTTGACCAGTCTTTGCACGAGCAGCAGTTTAGGGATTTTCAGGTTGTTATTCATACTTTTTACAAAAAGTGACAATTTCTTATTTTTCAAAAAACTTTATGGCTAAAAACCAAATCCACTCTTTCATAAATCTTCAATGTTTGGGAAAGAGAAAGGAAGCCGAATATGATGGAAGTCACACGCAAAGCCAACTAACTAACATATTGATATTAGTTGTTATTGTCTTGCCCTTCACGCCTAACACATAGAAAAGCTATAACCTAACAAATTCATTTCCCAATCTGTAAAAGGTATTACTTTGTTTTCCTGTCTGCTTCCCAACCAACACTCATTAGGCTTTTTCTATGTTCCATTTGCATCAAAGACTATCTCGCATTATACTTGAGTAATAACAGCTTAAAACTTTCAAACTTCTCCAAAGAAGTAGAGTCAGTCAGAGGTGATATACTGGGTAAAGATAATCATCACTACACTCTAAAAATTTCGTGAACATTGATGAAGAAAAACACATGGGCAAGTTTATCCACAATTCAACTTTCACCAAATGTTGAATGCTTGATCATATATTTACCCAACAAAAGCTCTTTTGTGCAGTTACAATCAAAAATTCAAAAGAAAGGAAAAAGATACAATCAGAGTTACAAAATTCCCCCTTCCAAAAGAAGCAAGTGACATAACAAGAAAGAAATATCGGTACTTCACATCAACCAACTCATGTTAGAATTATCAATCATTTTCCTCATCATAATCACGAATCTGATCGAAAAAAGGGTCCTCGAGTAGTTGGGCAGCCGAAGGCCTGGCTCTTGGCTGAGCAAGACACTTCTCAATAAACGCTTTGGCCTCGGGATCCTTCACCTTGTTCATGGCCTGAGGCCTCACTCCAGATGTCACCTTCTTGTAAATCTTTACCACATTATCACATTCGCTGTACGGAAGCTCGAGAGTCACCATCTCGAGCAAGCACATCCCAAACGAGTATATATCTATCATCTCTGTGTAGTTCTCGTCATACAGCTCAGGTGCCATGAATTCCGGTGTCCCCAGCACTGAATGGGCCGAGTGGTTTTTCCCAACTATAGCTGCCAACCCGAAATCGCCGATTTTCACCTGCACAATTGCATGAAGAAGGCCAATTTTATTAAATTACAATAAAAATAAATAAATTATTATTAGTGCAAAGATGAGGAAAAACAATTTGTAGTAGAAATTTTAAATGGCAGCAACTTCCAATCTATAATATGAAGAAAAGCCACTAGCTATATCATTTGTTCTTCTGTCTTCTTTATAGATTAATATCTGAATCATGTAATAAAACAAAAGACAGAAAAGGCTGCTTTAACCATTTCTTTTTTTACCTGGCCAACATTGCCGTTTATGAAGACATTGCTACAATTGAGGTCCCTGTGAATGACACAAGGTTCGTGTGTGTGCAAATAGTCGAGCCCTTTCAAGATCTGCCTTGACCACTTCTTGATGGCCTTCATCGAGACATGCCTGTGCCTTTTCCGGTACTCTCTTAGATTACCGGACGTACAAACCTCAGTTATGAAATTCAGGGTGTTCTTCTCCTTGTCCCGCCAGACAGAGTAAAGGGCAATTATATTCTTGTTCTTCAGGTTCCCGAGCAGGCGGACTTCAGAAAATAGTCGATTAATCATGGTCTCGTCATCTGAGAAGTTACGTAGTTTGACTTGATTCCAGGCGACTTCAATTCCTTCTTCTTGGTCAAAGGCTCTGTAGACTTTCTTCACGGCTCCCGAGCCCAGAAGCTCTTTGTAGCGGCCATATCGTCCTGTGGGGTCCACTTCCTCGAACGCTTCCAAGTCCCAATCCTCTTTTTTGTCACAACTCATGCTAGGCATCTACAACCACAACAGATTGAAGATGATGAAAATTGAATTGGACTATTCTGAAAACTATTAAATTACCGCTATGACTAAATCATATGTCAATCGGATTCTGTTTCTTTCTTTTTAAAAAAAAAAAAATGTGAAAATTAGTGAACCATGTAATATAATCAGAATTTTATAACAATTTGCACGATTTAATTTTCATCTTTGAAAGGACTGTGAGAAAATACAGAAGAAAGGAGTGAAGAAAAGTATATAACTCGTTATTTCTGTCAGACTGTCACTACAAAACAGTCCATAAATTCAAATATCTACCACTTTAAAACAGTTCATGTCACCAGAATCTCCGCAACCCAATTATGAATCGACGAAAATCAAATAAATATTTTAAATCATACTAGTCCGTTTTCTCTATCCATTACTTTTAAACAATACACAATTGGCCTAAACAAATATCGCGCGCTGGGACGAAATTGAAGAAATATGTAGTAACTTCAGGGATGATAAGAAGTAAAGCATCGGATTGTAAGGAAAAATACCTTTAATCAATAATCTCCGACGAAGAAACCGGCGCTTCGTTTGATCCTTTCTTCTTTTTTCTTGGTATGGTTTTGGCGCAGTCGAGAGAAATAAGGAAGAAGCAAAAAGTTGCGAGTAAAAGACGAGAAAGGAGGGTACGCTGAAGCTTGGGTTTGGTATTTATAGCAGAAAGAGAGGTTTACTATTTTGACTATGGTCAGATGATAATTAACTAACCGTCATAGACTAGGAATAAGATTCTAGCGAAACAAAATATAAATTGTTGATTCTTAGCTTTTCCACCACGTTCGGAAATAAAATAAGGGCATTACTAATGTGTTTAATTATTACTAGTGTTGATACTATGCACAGGATATATACAATTATTTAATATTTTATTATTTAAATATTGTTAAATTGTTTAAAATAATATGTCAATTCTATTCAGCACCATATATAAGTCAGTAATAATATAAAGTTTACGTAAATAATTTTTATTTTTTTTAATTTATTTTTGTAGGTCTTGACAATTGAATATATAAACTTTATTATTTATAAGTTTACAAAGTATAATAAATATTTATGATTTTAAATATGATGTTTGTATATAAATTACTTACATGTAATTATAAATTTACTGATTATCATGAACTTATAGTTTTTTTGAACAATTCATACTTTGCTTATTGTACGATAACTAACTTACGTTTAATCTATAACATTTATTTTCCTTTATTATAATTCTAGATGCATGAAGTATTAATTATTTGATAATTAAGTTTAAATTGTAATAACTTTAATAACTTATGCAACAGAGTTTTTTCATAGTAAACTATTTTATTTTAATTTTTAGTTATTTTTCCTATATTTATTTCTTTAAAATCATTTTTTCAACATATTTAATGAGTATTAAATAAAATTTAAATATTTAGATAAATTATATATTTCAATTATTACCAAATGTTCTAATTTTAATTATGATATTTGACTGTATTATCTTTTCATTTATTTTTATTAAATTGTATATAATAAAAGCTATATTTTTTACTACTTGAATCGATTTTTGATGTATATAGATATCTCTAATGTGAAACTTATAATTCTCAATTTCATCTGATCATCCAAATAAGAATTTTATTAATATATTAAATTTAATTTTTCAATAGTTTCATGGTTAGTTTCTTCTCTCGCTCCTTTTACCTCTGCCCCCTAGTGTTGGGGGTGGCTTCCTTCAGTGGCGGGTGTCTCGGATCAGCGGGTCATCGGCTTGTCTCGCGCGCCCATGTGGCTGTCTTGGGGTTTCGGGCTTGGAGCCGTTGGGGCTCTGCCCCTCCTAGTGTTCTGTCGCTCTTGGGGTTGGGTGATGGGTTCAGCCGGTGGGATTGGTTGGTGGCTCCGAGGATTATTAGATTTCAGCTGCTGGTAAGAGAGGAGTGGTGAGTTGGGGCTGATTTTGGTGTGCAGGCTGGTGGGCGGGCTGCCTCTTGAGACCGCGGGCCTGGGGGGTCGGGTCTTGTTAGGCATTTGTGGCAGTTTGGGGCTTGGTGCTCCGAACCGGGTCTCAGTCCATGGGGTGTCGGCTCTTGACGATTGATTGCGTGACGGTTTATGGTGTTTCTTGTTTGGCGGTTGAGGAGGGCTTTAGTTTAGTAGTTTTGTTTAGTTTTGTGTTGGGTTTGTGTTGTTTATGTTCAATTGTTGTTTAGAATTTGTGTTTTCAGTTTGGGTCGTTGGCCTCAATAAACCCGAGTGTGAGCGAATTGAGATCTTTCATTCTCCTTTTGGGAGCTTTGTAGTGTTTATAATGTTTGTTGTGTTGTGTGTGTTGCCGAGTGGTTTCTAGCGTTGCTAGCGTCGGTTTTCTAGGCGATCTTCGGATCTGTCCTCTCAGCTTTTTCAGTTGTTAGTTGTATCATTCAGTTAGGGGTTGTAGCTTTGCACATTTGTGCATTTATTTATAAAAAAAATCTCTATCGTTTCCAAAAAAAAAAAGATACATTCAATGGAGATATACTTTTTTATGGTTAATTTGCCTATATTTTAGCAAATTTCATTAATACTTTAAATTATTTATTAAGTTTATATAATTCAAACACAATTATTCTAGTTATTTGTTATATATTTAAGTGTTTCTGATCGGTGAACATAATTAATAAAATTAATTGCTACAACCATAAAATGATAACATAATTAATCAAATCAATTTTCATAATTATAATAATTATTCTTTTAGTTGTTTCAATAAATTTCTATGAAAATAATATTATGATCTTATTGAAAATATATGTGGTCAATCAATATTCTATTTAAGTTAATTTATCTATACTTATATAAAAAGTCATCTTATTTACTAGAAATAGTAGGCAGAAAAGTCAAAGGTAATTAATGTCATTCTATTTCCAGCAAGTATTTTATTTAATTATTTTATTTATTTGTTTTATCCTATACAATCGGTTTAGTAAAAAAAATCCCATAAAATCGGTTTAAAGTTTTTGTAGATTGAAATTTCCTTCTTATCTTTTTACTAAAAATCTTATTATTTATGTATGGAAATTTTGTTCTAAATTGTCGCTCTATATGTAACCCGATTTCCGTAAATACTACTGGTTTAGTTGTCTATATAATTGTAGATTGAAAATTCCTTCTTATCTTGAAACAAACAATAGATGCAATCCGATTCCTTTTAAATTCCTTCTTATTCCTTCTTATCAGTTAAGATTATTAGATGTAATCCGATTTTCGTATATTGAGATTTTATCGTAAAAATATTAACATCTATTGTATCTACTCTACCAATTATATATTATAAAACTTAAAATATTGAACAGCGTCTTCGTCACTTTCAACATCCTGCAACAAAAAAAAAAAAAAACCAGTCTTTCATTCAAAACAATGAACCAAGGATTTTGCTTAATCAAACAAATTAATAGGTCTAATAGACCTATGCTTAAAGTTCGAATTGTAAGAATGTTTTTCCAAGACTGGGGCAACACATACAAATCCTATCTCGAGTTGGTTCTGGATAATAAAACTTTTATTGAATATTGCATCTTATAATATAATATTTTCCAAATAAATATATCCCGTGCCTGCCCCGTACATTTTTCTGTATTTATGTATATAATTATAAGCCTGGATAAATAGTCTTAAAATTGTGCACCTTGTGCATCGCACAGGCTCTGTACTAGTAACTAATGAATATTAGTCATTGACTAACAAAAACTATTTAATTTCATATATATAATTTGTTGATAGATAAATGTTATTTATATGCTAAATATAGGTGAAAAAATTGTCCTTCCAAAACTATGTCAGTAATCTATTATATAGATATAGATTTTGACATGTTTTTTTGTGAAAAGCTTCACCTTATCATTGTGGTCTCACGATTTCATATAAGCTTCTGTGGAAAAAAAAAATGGTAAATTGACTGACAGGTTATAGACGATTGGTTTTAAAAGATGGATGGTGCCGATCATTTACAATTGAAGATATGATAAGGCTAATTAATCGTATCTTCCATATTTGCACGGTTGACAAGTGAGTAACTCTTTATTTACCACATGTTTTTCGAGCTTATAATTTACTTCTTGTTTATGTAATATAATTATTATTGTGTATATTTTCTTTTGTACCCTTACTTATGTAGTTACATTGGTGTTGTAACTCTTGTTAATATATCTTGAGAGAGCAGCACGAGATCATCAGGTGAAGGTGATAAGTTTTCTTTCATCCAAAATTGCTTCCAGTTTCTAGTTTAGCCAATTAATTTTTCGATCTTCCTTTTGCAATGGCCCGGTGATGAATACGCACTCTGATGCCTAGGAGGTGCAGCGCCCAGTTCATTGTTTTAGCCATGCATTCTGATTCTATATAAAATATAAAGCTCGACTTACAATAATTAAGCATAGAATTCGAGTGGACAAAAAAA